CTAACAAATTATTTGAGCTGTTAAATGATATGTCTACAGAAATTAATTCTTTAAAAGCACAAGTTATTAAACTCAATAAAAATAATAAAAAAAATATAAATTCAACTGAGGTATAATTTATAATTTATTTATTATAAACATAAAATATGTTTTATTTATATATAACAATAATATTAGCAGCAAGATTTAATCAAAGTTGAAAGTATTCCAAAACCTACTGGATTAAAATATATTAATTTAGCTGAAGTCTTAGAATTAGACTATAGCATTGTATTAGAATATTAGGTTTTCCAAATTATTAAATTTTTTAATTTAATATATCTAATTAACTTATTATTTAGTTTAAACATAGAAATATAAATTTTCTAAAATGTAAACATGATTGGGCTATTAAACTTATGATTCGTCATGTAATTATTAATGCTCGTAAGTATATTAATATTTAATCTATATTTTTATATATTTAATAATTTATTTATTTTTAATTTTGTTAATTAAATAATTTAGGTGAATACAAGTCAGTACAATATAAAAAAAGAATTGATAATTACAAAAAGAATAAAAAAAATCACAAAGTAGTTATGTTTTAAATAATATAATTATTTTAATACTTATTTTTATTTTACAATTTGTTTTATTAAAATAACTTTAATTAATTTAGCAAACAAATTTGAAAAATAATTCAAAGAAAAATGATATAGAGAATTGTAATTTTTCTGAAGATGACAATTATATTGATGAAAATGATATTGAAGAAAATCATAATACTGACGACAATAATATTGAAGAGAATTATAATACTGATGACAATGATATTGAAGAGAATTATAATACTGAAGACAATAATATCGAAGACAATATTGAAGAATATAATAATAGTGAAACAAATTATATCTCTGAAGAGAATGATGATATTGAGAAAACTAATGTCTTCAAAAACAATAATTTTGAAGACAATATTTCTGAAGTAAATAACATAAATAATCTTTTCAAAAAAAAATTTTCAAGTGACAATAATATTATAGAACAATATAGAGATCAAAATTCAGTTAAATATAATAAAATATATTAAAAAAATATTTTATAACCATTAATTATTAATTTATAAAAATATATCTATTTATGTTTAATAGCAATTTATTAATAAACAAACTTTAAATAAAGAATTCTTACAAGATAATCAATTAGCAAAGAAAAATTATTTATCTAAAAATACAAATTCAAATAAAAAACTCTTACAAGATAATGAATTATTTAAGAAAAACCATTTGCGTACAAATACTAATTCTAATAAAGAATCTTCACAAGGTAATAAAATATATAATTCAAGTAAAAACTATCTATATAAAAATACTAATTAAAAAAATATATATTTTTATAAAATAAAGCTTCTAAAGAACTTCTACAAGATAATAAAATGCGTAAAAGAAAATATTCAAATGATAATACTGATTTTAATAAGAAGCACTTGCAAGTTAACAAACTATCCAAGAAAAAATATGAGCACAAAGATACTAATCTGAATAATGAATATTTACAAGATAAAGTATTCAAGAAAAAAAATCTACACAAAAATACTAATACATTGCATTCTTCTATAATTGAAAATGCACAAGATTCTGGTTATTTAAAGGCTTCATTGTTTAAAAAACATACAACTAAGAAAACTCATAATCTTAGATCAAATGCTTGAAAAAATTATAAAGATTAAGTTGGTAAAGTATTAATTTTATTTAATTTATAATAAAATTGTATTAATCTTTATTTTTTTAATAATTTTGTTTAGCTACTGACTCATTCACTTGCTTTACTTTCCTGTCTATCTACTGGTATATTTACCACTGTTACTTAAAAATTACCAGATAATAAGTACAAAAAAACAAATATGCTGATCCTTCCTTGAAAATTATGTTTTATTGTTTTATGCAAGTATGTTATATAGCAAGTGTATATATTATTTGATGCTACTACAATATTTT